CCTCTCCCACCTGCTCCCACAATGCCCCCTATAGTCACTGCCACATTGGTGGGGACCCAAAACCCAGCCTCGGACCCAGCCCAGAGACCGCCCTGAGGACCCAGGTGCCATGTCTTGGGTGGTGGCAACAGTGGCTGGAGAGACGACCCTTGCTCTCCAGACTCCGTTAACCTCGTTTCCAGTCACCCCACTTTCCCCCAAGGCCACCCAGCCTCCCTGGGCCCATAACTGCCTCCCATTCAATTGGGCACCCTTCTGTTAGGGTCACAGCAAGGCAAGTGCATAGACCCTCTCCCCTTTCTCCCGTGCTAAGCCGAGCTCACAACAAAAACAGCCTCAAGCCTGGTAAACAGGGCACCAGGATGTGGTTGCACCTGGCTCTGAAACTCAGCATGTTAACCCAAGTAAGCAGAATGTCAACCCCTGAGAACCAAGATGCGGTTTTTCCTAGAATAGCACCCAGCTACTTGCAAACCCTCTCTGTAACCCCCATAATCTGTAAGCCAGGCTGCTGCCTTCACTGCCTGTGCTGAGACAACCTGGCCACCAAGTGAGACTCTGTCTCAAAAAAAAAATTGTCACTTGATACCATTTCAGTCCACTACGATGGCTAGAATTAAAAAGACACAGGGAATAACAAACATTGCTGAGGATGTGGAGGAATCAGACCCTGATATACTGCTGCTGGGAATCTAAAACGACACAGACACTGAAGAATAGTCTGCTGTTCCTCAAAAGTTTAAAAACATGTTTCCCATGTAACCCAGCAGTTCTTTTCCTTCATACATATCCAAGAAAACTGAAAACATATGTGCCACAGAAACTTGTACATGAATGTTCACAGCAGCATTATATTTGGAATAGCCAAAAAGTGGAAACAACCCAATTGTCCTTCCAGGGATGAATGGAGAAACCAAAATGTGGTCTGTCCATACAGTAGAATATTATGCAGCCAGAAAAAGGAATGAAGGACTTTGCATGTTACAACACACGTGAACCTCAAGAACATTAGGCTCATGCTTGCTTCAGCAGCACATATACTAAAATTGGAACGATATAGAGAAGATTAGCATGGCCCCTGTGCAAGGATGACATGCAAATTCGTGAAGTGTTCCATATTTTTTATCTACAACCATCTGATCTTTGACAAACCTGACAAAAACAAGCAATGGGGAAAGGATTCCCTGTTTAATAAATGGTGTTGGGAAAACTGGCTAGCCATGTGCAGAAAGCAGAAACTGGACCCCTTCCTGACACCTTACACTAAAATTAACTCCAGATGGGTTTAAAGACTTAAACATAAGACCTAACACCATAAAAACCCTAGAAGAAAATCTACGCAAAACTATTCAGGACATAGGCATAGGCAAGGACTTCATGACCAAAACACCAAAAGCATTGGCAACAAAAGCCAAAATAGACAAATGGGACCTAATCAAACTCCACAGCTTCTGCACAGCAAAAGAAACAGTCATTAGAGTGAATCGGCAACCAACAGAATGGGAAAAAATTTTTGTAGTTTACCCATCTGACAAAGGGCTGATATCCAGAATTTACAAAGAACTAAAACAGATTTACAAGAAAAAAACAAACAGGCCCATTCAAAAGTGGGTGAAGGATATGAACAGACATTTTACAAAAGAAGACATACATGAGGCCAAAAAACATATGAAAAAATGCTCATCATCACTGGTCATCAGAGAAATGCAAATCAAAACAACATTGAGATACCATCTCATGCCAGTTAGAATGGCGATCATCAAAAAATCTGGAGACAACAGATGCTGGAGAGGATGTGGAGAAATAGGAACACTTTTACACTGTTGGTGGGAGTGTCAATTAGTTCAACCATTATGGAAGACAGTGTGGTGATTCCTCAAGGACCTAGAAATAGAAATTCCATTTGACCCAGCAATCCCATTACTGGGTATATATCTAAAGGATTATAAATCATTCTACTATAAGGACACGTGCACACGAATGTTCATTGCAGCACTGTTTACAATAGCAAAGACCTGGAACCAACCCAAATGCCCATTGATGATAGACTGGACAGGGAAAATGTGGCATATATACACCATGGAATAGTATGCAGCCATCAAAAACGATGAGTTTGTGTCCTTTGTAGGGACATGGATGAACCTGGAAACCATCATTCTCAGCAAACTGACAGAAGTGCAGAAGATCAAACACCGCATGTTCTCGCTCATAGGCGGGTGTTGAACAATGAGAACACATGGACACAGGGAGGGGAGCATTACACACTGGGGTCAGTTGGGGGGAAATAGGGGAGGGATGGTGGGGGGTGGGGAGTTGGGGAGAGATAGCAAGGGGAGAGATGCCAGATGTAGGTGATGGGGAGGAAGGCAGCAAATCACACTACCACGTGTGTACCTATGCAACAATCTTGCATGTTCTTCACATGTACCCCAAAACCTAAAATGCAATAAAATAAATAAATGGAAAAAAAAAGAACAGTAGGCTCAGTGAAAGAAGCTAGACACAGAAGATCACCTAGTGTATAATTGTACTTATATGAAACGTCTGAAAGAGATGCATCTATTGAGACAGAACGTAGATGAGGCTAGGCACAGTGGCTCATACCTGTAATTCCAGCACTTTGGGAAGCTAAGGCGGACAGATCACTTGCAGTCAGGAGCTCGAGACTTCCTGATCAATGTTGGAAACAGATGCTCGGTGCTGCAAAGAAAAATTAGCACTGAGACAGAGGATCTTTCAGCAACATAATTTTTACTTCCTGGACTGCTGGAAGGGTACCCTCGCTAGCCATCCTGCCATGAGAGCACAATGAACAAAGGAAAACACAGAAATTTATCCCTTACCCATCCTTACTGCTGTGTCTGATCTCCACTGGCTGGAGTGAGACCTCACAATCTAAACTAAAACCCAATTGGCTAAAAGCTTAAAACTTTCTAAACAGGTAAAAGCAATGGAGAGCTGGGACAGGCCTGTGAGCACGTCCAGCACAGATATCCTGGTTAAAGTACAAGGACATAGAATGTACTACGTGCCTGTAAGCATGGCGTGTCTAACAGCTACATAGGATAGGGCTTAACAAAGTTATTAGCACACCTGCTCTTTAACAAGAAAGAAAACTATTAAAAGGAACTTTTCTACTTCCTACAACCAACATGGTGAAACCCCATCTCCACTAAAAATACAAAAATTATCTGGGCATGGTGGCACGTGCCTGTAGTCCCAGCTACTTGGGAGGCTGAGGCAGGAGAATTGCTTGAACCCAGGTGGCAGAGGTTGCAGTGAGCTGAGATCGTGCCACTGCACATCAGCCTAGACAACAGAGCAGGATTCCATCTCAAAAAAGAAAAACAATAAAGAAAGTAGATGAGTGGTTGTCCATGGAAGTGAGGATTGGTGGTGATGTCGCAGAGGCAGGATTCCTCTCAGGTGATGAACATGTTCTAAAGTGGGTGGTGGCGATACTCACACAGTTCTCTGCTTTGAATTGCATCGCCTGTGAATTACGTCACCATAAAGCTATAAAAACGGGGAACAGTCTGGATGGATGACAAGATGCCTTTGGATGGTGGCCTTTGTGAGAGTCGCGGAGGGGCTAGGGTTGCCGGGCGAGAGACAGTCTCTTGGAGCTGAAGCCTAGAGCAAGGCTTTAGCTGGTGCAGGAGTGGCTTCCTTCTCTCTCCCACTCTACAGTTCAGAGATGGCTCAGGGAAAGATCTGGACTTCCTAACTGTGGAGAGGGGGCTGCACGCAGTGGAATGGACTCCTAAGTGGCAGGCAGGTGACAACCAGTGTCTAGTCCCCCCAAGTGAAGATTTCACCAGGGAAGCGTGGTTTCTAGGTTCTGTCTCTCCGGGTCCCCTTTGAGAATATAATGGGACACATTGTGTCCAAGCTGAAGTCCTCACTCCAGGACCTCAGAATGTGCCCTTATTTGGAAACAGGGTCATTATGGAGGTGATGAAGTGACAATGAGGACACTGGGGTGGACCCTACTTCAATATGACTGGTGTCCTTATGAAAAGGGGAAGTGTGGACAGTCAGCCAGAGAGAACGCGATGAAGATGAAGATGGCCATGTACGAGTGCAGAAGAGAGGCCAGAACAGGATCCCAGCTCCACGCCCTCAGAAGGACGCAGCACTGCCCACCCTGACCTTGGACTTCCAGCCTGCAGACTGTGCGAGAAGAGATGTCTTGAGTCAGGGCAGCCCCAGGAAGCCATCCCGAGGTCAAGGCTGTGGTTGTGCTCAGCTGGGGTGGGGCTTGGCCACCAGGGTGGGGCATGAGGAGGAGGTGGGAGGCCCAGCCAGGCTGGTGGGTCAGAACCCGTGGGGCTAGAGAAGCCGGCAGGGGAGCCTCAGGATTGCTGGGACCAGTGACCTTTGGCCCCCGCCGGCCTTGCCTTGGCCCAGAAGGGGTCAGGAGAGCCTGGCCAGCCAAGCTCAGACGGTCAGCAGGAAGCCTTGCACCCTGCAGAAGGTCCTATCTTGTCCCGCAGGTAGTTCTACATCACCACTAGCCACCCCTCCGACCTGCACAGGCCTCTGCCCTCCAGAGCCTCCTTTTAGGTCTGGCAGGTCCTGCCTCCTCACCCAGAAGCTTCTCTGGCCCTCTGGAGTCGGGGCACACCTCATGCAAGGACAGTGCCCACATTCCTTTGTCCTCGGATTCCATTTGGCTGAGGTCTCCTTCCTGGGCTCCCGGGGTTTCCCGAGCCTGCTTTCGAAAGTCTGGCCTTTTCCTCTGTCCCTCCCTGTCTCAGGCTGGTGGGGTGGGGGAAGCAGCCCATTCCTGGGCTCAAAGAATCCCACCCCAGCTCAGAGGGTGCAGGACCGCAGCCAGGGACAGACCTCATCCCTCCCAGGGACTCCAGACCACTGTCTCTCTCAGGTAAGTCTCTACCTCTGCCTGTCTCTGTGTCTGTCTCTTTTTCAGCCGCTCAGCCTGGCCTGCCCTGGGTGAGGCTCCACCCATTACTCCCCCTCCACCAATAAAACCAGCTGAGTTTGTGCTAGACTGGGTAGAGAAGGCAACTGTCTCAGTGGTGCTGGTTCCTCCCGGGTGGGGAGTTGGGGTCTCTGAAGGTGAGGACCCTCTGGGGAGAAGGGTGCTTCTCTGAGACGCTTTTCCTCACACCTGTCACTCACCAGCAGGTCCTGGCTCCTGGAACTCCTGGCCACCATGGGCATCACCAAGGTGAGCGAGAGGCTGCGTGTGCTTTTGTGGACTTGTCTGATAAAACACTGTAAGGTCGCATGTGCCCTCAGTATTTCCCAGCTGCCTGTGTGTGAGGCTGTCAGGCGCGCCCAGTGACAGGTCAGCGATGGGATAAAGGTATTGTTGGAGGCGCTGGAGAAGGGCCGGGGTGCAGAGGAGAGAAAGCACCAGGCCCAGGAGCCCCTCACAGCCCAGAGAGCCCGGGGCAGCGGCGGGAGCGCTCTCCTGGAAACCGCTCAGACAGCGCTTCTCTCAGGACCTGGCTCAGGGGGGCAGGCCCAAGAGCAGGGCCCAGGCATGGGCCTGGGTGCGTCTTCCTCCTTTCCTGGGTGCCCTCCCACTTCCCGTCCTCTACCCCTGCCCCACCCCAATTGAGAGGCCCACCAGACCCTCCAGGGAGCTCTGTGGCCCGTGACAATGCGGTTTTCCAGGCTGTGGCCTGGCCTGGGTTCAAGACAGGGACCTGGAGGATATGTGGCTCCCACAGGCCAGCACGTGGCCTGTGTCATGGGAAGTGGGGCTGGCGGGATGGGACCATCACTGCCTCCAAGTGTGCAGACAGCTGCCCTGCCCAGAACACCTCCCAGGCCCTGCACAATCTGTGGTGACGCTCACCACTCCGCGGTGGGGGAAGCCGGGCATATCACCCCCCAGACTAGGGCCTTCACATGGGGGCTCAGCGGGGAGTCTGTGGGGTACCTCCTGCCTCTGCAGGTGCAGCCACATGTCTGCAGGAAGGAACGGCCCAGGCACTGCGGGCACAGGTTGGCAGTTGGAAAGAGTGGCAGGTTGTAGGGTGGACCTACCTGGCACCCCTGAATCTTAATCAGCTCCTCAGAGAGGAATGGCCACTGTGACCGCCCTAAAAGTTTTTTCTTGGCCACCTCTCACCTGGGACCACAGTAAGTGTGGGAATTCCAGCTGAGCCAGCCTGCTCCAGGGCAGCGTCCATCCCCCCATGTGTGTGCATGGAGGAGGGTGTGTGTGCAGGGGAGACACCCCAGGGTCATGCAGGTCCTGCTCTTGGAAGGAAGGGTCACCCAGGCCTATGCAGGCCCTGCCTTTGGGCCTGCCCCGCTGAGCTGGCTCCTGAGATGAGCGCTCTCTGAACGGTTTCCGGGAGAGCCCTGCCTGCCCCTGCCCTGGGCTCTCTGGGCTGTGAGGGGCTCCTGGGAGTGGTGTCTCCTCTCATCCCGCACCCCTGCCGTGAGTGTGTGTGTGTGTGTGTGTGTGTGTGTGTGTGTGTGTGTGTGTATATAACTTCTCTTTGGGGAAAGGGTAAGTTTACGCATGGGGCCTAAGTGTCACCATTATTTCTGCAGAACCAGTCTGATGACATTAAGAAACTGAATGCCAGAATGGTAATGCTTTTCCCCACATCTGCTCATGGGTGAGGGGTCTGGGTCTCAGTCTGTGACACTGAGGACACTGTGGGCCACCTGGGGCCTGGGAGGGACAAGGATCAGGCCCTTTGATGCCAACTCTGCCTCTCTTCACAGCATCAGTTGGTAGACGAATTTACTGTTACAATGAAACATGAGGAATCAGAACCTGAAAAGGTAGGTGGATTTTCCCTCCATCACCAGGTCAGATATCTCCGCCCTCAGGCTCTCCACACTGTGGGGAGCTCAGGGTAAGACGGATGAAGAGGGACCCGAAGGTTCCCTCATCCCTTACCCTGGGCAAAGGCTTGCACCTGGGTGGCAGTGAGTGCACGGGTGGGGGATCTGGACCACCAGGGAGACTAAGGGAGGCATCCGAGCCCCAGGGCTCCTTGAGGAAATGACAGGGGTGGCAGATGTGGCCTGGGACCCTGCTGGACCCAGTTCGGGGTGTGTGGGAGCTAAGGACTGGCGGGGCGTGAGGACTGACTGGTGTTGAGTGCAGTGGAGGCTGGGCCTGGAACCATGTGCTTTGCTCCTTACAGGTGAAGTCGAGCATGAATGATCTGGAGGTGAGCCTCGGCCTCCCCGCCCACCAAGCTGAGTCCCTGGGTCTTAGGCTCCACAGGTTACTAGGTCTGGGCTCTGGGTCCCCTTGGGAATCAACCTGGAGCAGTGGGGGCCACAGTGGGGAGGGGACGGCAGGAGCAGCCTGAGCACCCTGTGTCTTCCTCTCCCCAGGACAACTTCAAAGAGTGCATTTTGGACACTGTGAATGACTGTTATAAGGAACAGCACCCCGTGAGTATGCGGCACCCATCTGTGTGCCTTTCCTCCCTTCACCTTTGCCCTTTTTTTTCGACATGGAGTCTCACTTTGTCACCCAGGTTAGAGTGCCATGGAGCAATCTGGGCTCTCTGCAACCTCCCTCTCCCAGGTTCAAGTAATTCTCCTCCCTCAGCCTCCTCAGTAGCTGGGATTATAGACGTGCACCACCATGCCAGGTTAAATTTTATTTTCTACTTCTAGTGCAGACAGGGTTTCACCATGTTGTCCTGGCTCGTCTTGAACTCCCAACCTTTTGATCTGCCTGTCTTGTTCTCCCAAAGTGCTGGGATTTCATGCGTGAGCCACCGCACCTCGCAGACCCCTGCCCTGTCTTGATGTTGGTGTGGGCAGGGTGTGCCCAGCCCCTGAGCTGGGGGTGGAGGGCTGGGAGTGACAGCCGAGCTGGGACCTGCCCCCAGCCTCCCCCAGCACACAGTGGCAGAGCCCTGCCTTCAACTCAAGCCACGATGGGGGCCCTGGCCTGGTGACCAAGCAGACACAGCCATCATGTCACTGCCGTGGAGGGAAGTGGAGAGGAGGGGACTCTGGGAAAAGTCCCTCCTGTCCATGGGGCTGTGGCTGCGAAACCAACACCTGTGGGCTTCCATCTCCCAGACTCAGGAAAAGGCTGAGAGGCCTGGGTGTGGCCAGGGCCTGGGGCTGACACCCCTACCTGCAGACCCCGAATGGTGCCCCCATTCCACAGGAGCTCACTCCTCTACTTGAAAAAGAAAGAGATGCATTACGGCGCAGAGGCAACAGACCGCCTGCTCTGGAAGTGGAGGATCCCGAAACCCAGGAGCCCGAGGAGAGCTTTTGTGACAAGGTCCTGAGATGGTTCCACGCCATGCTGCAGCGGCTGCAGGCGTGGTGGCAGAAGTTTGTGGCCTGGGTGAAGGAGATGGTGGCGGCCGTGGTCCATGCAGCAAAGGCCCTCTGGAATGTGTTTGAGAGTTTCTGCTGCTCTCTGCCAGAGCTCCTCAGGTCCTTTTTTCAGTACTAAGGAACCCCATGGAGGGCATGGAGGAGCTGACAGCCCAGAAGTGCTCTGAACCCCAATGAAGCTTCCGATGCCACTTTTGCCCTCCCCCTCACTTCGAACCCACCCTGACCCCTCCCTCAGCTCTGCTGTGCCCTGCCCCCCTCCCACACACCCAGCCCCCCTGCCTGGCGTTCCTGCTGCAGCTCTGACCTGGCACTGTCACGATGGCGTCTTAATAAAACGTTCTTAAACTTACCTGGCAGAGGAGATACTATGACCACAAAGGTGGTTTTCCCAGGACAAGGTTCATTCGTTGCTGTCTTAGTCCATTTTCACACTACTGTAAAGAATGCCTGAGACTGGGTGATTATAAAGGAAAGAAGTTAATTGACTAACAGTTCCACATGGCTGGGGAAGCCTGAGGAAACTTACAATCCCAGGGGAAGGTGAAAGAGAAGGCACATTCTGCATGGCAGCAGGAGAAGCGGGGCTTTGGGAACTGCCAAGCACCTTTTTTTTTTGAGATGGAGTGTTGCTGTGTGCAGTGGGGTGATCTTGGCTTAACGCAACCTCCGCCTCCCAGGCTCAACTGATTCTCCTACCTCAGCCTGTGGAGTAGCTGAAATTAGCCTGGCTGATTTTGTAGTTTTAGTACTGATGGGGCTTCACCATGTTGGTCAGGCTGCTGTGACCAACATGAACTCTTTGACTCCATGTCTCACATCCAGGGAACTCTGATGAAAGGGTGGTTCCCAGGGCCTTGGGCAGCTCTGCCCCTGTGGCTCTGCAGGGTCCACTCCCCACAGCTGATTTCAGGGGCTGGTGTGGAATGCCTGTGGCTTTTCCAGACACACGATACAAGCTCTTGGTGGATCTACCATTCTAGGGTCTGGAGGACAGTGGTCCTCTTCTCACAGCTCCAGTAGGCAGTGCCCCAGTGGGGACTCCGCGTGGGGGCTCCAACCCTGCATTTCCCCTCTGCATTGCCCTAGTAGCTGTTCTCCATGAGAGCCTTGCCCTGCAGCCGGCTTCTACCTGGTCGTGCAGGCATTTCCCTACATCACTGAAATCCATGCAGAGGCCCCCAAAGCTTAACTCTTGTCTTCTGCACACCTGCAGGCCCAACACAGAGCAGCGGGGCCCTGGGCCTAGCTTTAATTTCTCTCCAGAAAATGGGTTTTTCTTTTCTACCACATGGTTAGGCTGCAAATTTTTCATTCCTTTACACTCTGCTTCCCTTTTAAACTTAAGTTCTAATTTCAAACCATCTCTTTGTGAGTGCGTATAACCATATGGTTTCAGGAAAAGACAGGTCACCTGTTGAATGCTTTGTTGCTTAGAAATTTCTACTGCTGGCCAGACTTGGTGGCTCACTTCTGTAAACCCAGCACTTTGGGAGGCCGAGGCAAGTGGATCACGAGGTCAGGAGATCAAGACCATCTGGCTAACATGGTGAAACGCTGTCTCTACTAAAAATACAGAAATTAGCTGGGCGTGATGGCGCGTGCCTGGAATCCTAGCTACTTGGGAGGCTGAGGCAGAAGAATCGCTGGAACCAGGGAGTCAGAGATTTCAGTTATCTGAGATCGTGCCACTGTATTCCAGCCTGGTGATAGAGCAAGACTCCATCAGAAATAAATAAATAAATAAATAAATTTCTACTGCAAGGCATGCTAAATCATCTCTCTCAAGTTCAAAGTTTCACAGGGCAGGGGCAAAATGCTACCACCCTCTTTGCTAAAGCACAGCAAGGGTCTCCGTTACTCCAATTCCTAGCAAGTTTCTTATCTCCATCTGATATCCCCTCAGCCTGGACTTAATTGTCCATATCACCATCAGCATTTTGCTCAAAGTCATTCAAGAAGTCTCTATGAAGTTCCAAACTTTCCCACATCTTCCTGTCTTCTTCTGAGCCCTCCAAACTGCTCCAACCTCTTCCTGTCACCCAGCTCCAAAGTTGCTTCCGCATTTTCAGGTTATTTTATAGCAGTAGCCACGCCTGTTATGAATTTTCTCTATTGGTACATTTTCACACTGCTACAAAGAATACCTGAGACTGGGTAATTTATAAGGAAAAAAGGATTAATTGACTCACAGTTCCAAAAATCCAAGGAGGTCTCAGGAAAGCTTACAATCATCGTGGAAGGCAAAGGAGAAGCAAGGCACATCTTACGTGGCGGCAGGAGAGAGAAAGAGGGAGAGACACAGGAAGCAGGGAACTGCCAAACACTTTTAAAACAACAGACCTCGGCGGGATGTAGTGGCTCACACCCATAATCCCAGCATTTTGGGAGGCCGAGGCAGATGGATCACCTGAGGTCAGGAGTTCAAGACTAGCCTGGCCAACGTGGTGAAACTCTGTCTCTTTAAAAATACAAAAAATAGGCCGGGCGCAGTGGCTCAAGCTTGTAATCCCAGCACTATGGGAGGCCGAGGCGGGTGGATCACGAGGTCAAGAGATCGAGACCATCCTGGTCAACATGGTGAAACCCCGTCTCTACTAAAAATACAAAAAATTAGCTGGGCATGGTGGCGCGTGCCTGTAATCCCAGCGACTCAGGAGGCTGGGGCAGGAGAATTGCCTGAACCCGGGAGGCGGAGGTTGCTGTGAGCCGAGATCGCGCCATTGCACTCCAGCCTGGGTAACAAGAGCGAAACTCCGTCTCAAAACAAAAAAAAGAAAAAAGAAAAAAAGAAAAAAAAAAAAAAGAGAGAAAAAAAAAAATACAAAAAATAGCTGGGAGTGGTGGCGTGTGTTGTAATCCCAGCTACTTGTGAGGCTGAGGCAGGAGAATCGCTTGAACCTGGGAGGACGACGTTGCAGTGAGCCGAGATTGTGCCATCATACACAGCCTGGGCAACAAGAGCAAAACTCCCTCTAATAAAAAAAAAACAATCACATCTGGTGAGAACTCGCTTTCACCAGAACAGCATGGGGAACCCGCCCCCATGATCCAATCACCTCCTCCCATGTCCCTCCCTTGACATGTGGGGATTACAGTTCCAGATGATATTTGGGTGGGACATGAAGCCAAACCATCTCCATTGCACTCCGGATGTGCTGACCCCTGTGACTTCCACAAGTGTGGGACGCTTGATCGCATCATCTGTGGTAGTGGGCACTGCATTCATACTTTCCCCTGAAAGCAATACAATAAAATAACAGTTGCTCAAATGGAATCAGGTGCCTGCTTGCAGGCTTCTCTGACAGGCGGGCACAGGGAGGCAGGGGGCCCAGTAGTGACAGCAGAGAATGTGGCTCCGATGGACATATCCCGGTTACAGATGTGGACGAGCAAGGCCAGGCCCCTGACTTCCTTATGGATAATGGTGCATGGGTCTCGGTAACCTGGTGGGTTGGTTGAGGACTAGAGGACTTCAGCCTGGTGCGTCCTTGATCACAGAGCCGTAAGCACAGAAGCCGGCCCAGGACTCAAGCTCTGCTCCCCCAGGTGACACCTATTTCTTCAAGGGCGCCCTCTACAGGCGCTTCCCCAAGGGCGACACAAAGACCAAGCCAAACGTCCCGCCACCTCCACCTCCCGAGCTCATGGGCCCAAGTAGCTGGGCTGCCCCGCCCCCAGCTCTGGCCCCCGCGCCCTCGGGCCCCCAAAGCAACCCCCGAGTCCGAAACCTGCGATTGTCAGTGCGAGCTCAACCAGGCCTCAGGACCGCAGCCCGCGCCCCTCCCGCTGCTCCTCCTGCCCCTGCTGGTGCGAGGTGTCGCCTCCCGCTGATGGGGGGCCCATCCGGAAGGAACAGCGCCCTCCACGGCCGAGTCACCCGCCGCTGGACCTGGTTGGGGGTTGTGAAGAGCTGCGGAGGCCCCTCGTCTGTTCCCAGGGACCGGGGCTCCCGCGTGGACTAAGCAGGGCGGGTCTCTCGCGGAGGGCGGCGGCGGGAATTGGTCGCACCTGGCGCTGTGCTCAGCCTCAGCTGGGTCCTGCGCTCCCCGCGCCGCCTCCGGAGCCCGCGGGCGCCCGCACGCGGAGACCACGCGTCGGCCACCGCCCCCGTCCTTCCCTCCCTGTGGCCACCAGGCGGCGGTCGGACTCGCCCGAGCCCGGGGAGGGGCGCCCAGGAGGGCCGGCCCACTGGGTCACACGAAGGAAACAGCTGTCCCCCGCGCTCGCTGCCCCCGCAAGACCGTCCTTTTCCGGGAAGAGCCAGCTTTTCTCCGAGACTCTCCGCAGCCCCGCCCCGCCCCGCCTGCCCACTGTGCCTGGCGCTCCTGGATCATTTGAATACCGGCCTGACTGCGAAGCTGGGCCCAGCCCCTCTCCCACCTGCTCCCACAATGCCCCCTATAGTCACTGCCACATTGGTGGGGACCCAAAACCCAGCCTCGGACCCAGCCCAGAGACCGCCCTGAGGACCCAGGTGCCATGTCTTGGGTGGTGGCAACAGTGGCTGGAGAGACGACCCTTGCTCTCCAGACTCCGTTAACCTCGTTTCCAGTCACCCCACTTTCCCCCAAGGCCACCCAGCCTCCCTGGGCCCATAACTGCCTCCCATTCAATTGGGCACCCTTCTGTTAGGGTCACAGCAAGGCAAGTGCATAGACCCTCTCCCCTTTCTCCCGTGCTAAGCCGAGCTCACAACAAAAACAGCCTCAAGCCTGGTAAACAGGGCACCAGGATGTGGTTGCACCTGGCTCTGAAACTCAGCATGTTAACCCAAGTAAGCAGAATGTCAACCCCTGAGAACCAAGATGCGGTTTTTCCTAGAATAGCACCCAGCTACTTGCAAACCCTCTCTGTAACCCCCATAATCTGTAAGCCAGGCTGCTGCCTTCACTGCCTGTGCTGAGACAACCTGGCCACCAAGTGAGACTCTGTCTCAAAAAAAAAATTGTCACTTGATACCATTTCAGTCCACTACGATGGCTAGAATTAAAAAGACACAGGGAATAACAAACATTGCTGAGGATGTGGAGGAATCAGACCCTGATATACTGCTGCTGGGAATCTAAAACGACACAGACACTGAAGAATAGTCTGCTGTTCCTCAAAAGTTTAAAAACATGTTTCCCATGTAACCCAGCAGTTCTTTTCCTTCATACATATCCAAGAAAACTGAAAACATATGTGCCACAGAAACTTGTACATGAATGTTCACAGCAGCATTATATTTGGAATAGCCAAAAAGTGGAAACAACCCAATTGTCCTTCCAGGGATGAATGGAGAAACCAAAATGTGGTCTGTCCATACAGTAGAATATTATGCAGCCAGAAAAAGGAATGAAGGACTTTGCATGTTACAACACA